GTCAGTACCGACTTGGAACCAAAGTCTGTAATTTTGACAACAAACATACTGTCTGAGTAGGTAATATGTTTGTAAACTATATTTTACTATCACGGCCGTTAAAAAAATCCGTTTTATAGGCTATACAGTATGGGTAGGCTAGTATGAATAAAATCCAGGCGTGCTACATCCGCCATGTTGTCATTATCACGTGACCTACCAGCGTCAGTTCACTGTCATTCACAAATCCTCTCCTGTGGCCCCATGGGATAATAAAGTGTTCATTCCATGCACTTCAGAATCTCTCCGGAAGTAGTAGCTCATCCGGGTACTTTTTTTCACTTACTGTTTTTCAAATGCTATGTATTAAAACATACTACTCTGTTGGCGTACTGCTTTTTGCATAGGGAAATATTTGATTTCAGACGCAGTATTAGTGCTTTCCCTGGGAATCGAACCCATGACCTTGGCGTTGCTAGTGCCATGCTCTATTGTCTGAACTATTGTCTGTCCTTTTTACGTAGTGTGACGCTGCAGAAATGGAAAACTAGTAACTGATAAAAAAGCTGGGAAAATTTAAAAAAGAGTTTGTTGAAAAAAAGGTCTAAGCTGCTAAAAGGAAAATTGTCCTGAAGCCTCATTTAAAAACAAATGAGGAACTGAAAGTCATTGTTTTCTGCAGGGGGACCCGAGAGGTTTTATGACATCACCCTTTTGCACAATTCTTTCATCAGACTTATGGTCCAGCAACACCACTGAGAAACCCACAGATGGTCCACAGACCTCGAGCAGCTCTTCATGGTAGCCCAGAAATCTGCTCACGGTTCCTGTTAGTCTGCTCACATCACAGCAGGCCAAAAACACTACGACTCAGAGGACCAGAGTGGAACAATGCAGAGAGATCCAACGGCAGGACAATTCCAGCCGTCTGCTCTGTGTCAAGGGCTGCGATGCACGTCTGGCTCAATCAGCTTCCACCCGCGGGTCAACTTGCTTATGTGAACATTTAGTCAATGACAACATTTTGTCAAAACTACATTTACATTCAAACTACATGGCACATTGAAAACCTCCTGCCTGCTGAAGACATATGTATGCACAATAAAAATGGACTTCTTGAAAGTTTTTAGATATGTAGAATTCTCATCTAGTGTCAAAGTCTACAGATTTTTTTTTTCTGAAATTTTGTGTTTCAGTGTGTCAATGAAATTTTCAGCTTTTATCAAAAGAGATTTTATCACTGTTGCCCTTTTAAATCTAAAGTTTAAACATGGTAGCTCTAAAATAGATACAGTATGAGCTGCATTGTGGGATACATTAAATACAATGGCACATTTAGTTTTTTAAACCACACAAAAATTGTCTGTCAAAAACATGTTCATGTACAGTAAGTGATGATCTTTCTGAGGGATCTTAAGTCATGCGCAGATTATTTCAAAATATCTACTTGATATCACTACTCATATCTTACAAAGATCCAAAGTTCACATACCAAGCTCTGAACTTACTCTGAAAACTATAGTATACTGTGATCTCTTCAAATTTGAAACAGTTTATGAAAGGTAAAATGCATCAAAACGCTTTTTATGCACTTCATTTTTGAGGAGGCGCCAGTGTAAAAAAAAAAAATTACATTTTTAAAACTATTTCGTGTAACATAATTTTCCATCTGAAGCAAAGCATCTTGATTAGACTGACCAAATGTACACATGCATATCAGAGCATTTTTAATAATTGAATTTTTTCAAAAATGCATGCAAAGCATGTTGAAAAGCTGCATTTAAATGGATCTGATTGTGAAATCCAAAAACTAATTTTAAACACTTTTTGTGGGACAATGATTTTGCATCATTGACAGCTGAGATATTTGACAAGTATTTCCTATCAAATCATTTATAGAATTTATTGACAATATCAGTGACATTAATTTTAACCACAGCATTTGAGGATAGACTTCCTGTTCTCTCATTAGGAAGAACCATTGCCATCATGTGTGGCCATGAAACTAAATAAAGACATTCTATTCTGTATTCTTAAAATATTGTGGTGATATTTAATGTATTTTCAAACAGCAAGACTGGTTTTAGTGTTTGCTAATGAACTAAGGTGAGATCTTTAAAGTTGTATCAAGTTATATTATCATCATAATGCACAATGTAGTATATACTTATAAAATAAATACATTTATCTGTTCAACATGACATATTTTAACTGTTTTTTTCTCTGTCTGATATGTGGTGATAATGGCTTTTTGCTCTGCATGTTTTTGCAAGTTTGGCAAGAATTGTACAGAAGATACATCAATGCCGGAAGTATCTATCTAGATAACATTCTTATCGTCCTGTGAACACTACACCTAATTTCCCTCAAATACCTGCCTTGCCCACCACCCCATTCCACCGAGAAGAATGGAAAGAATCCGCACAGAGAGACTTAATCTTAATTATGAATCATTTAAACAAAGCAAGTAAATTCGTAGCAGATGTAACAATCTCTTTGAAACTGTTTGAGACCAAACTTTGTCTTTTTTTTTGGGGGATTCTGTCACAGATCTCATTTATAGCTTCATCATCAAGCCTTCCTGTTCAGCTTTGTCGCGTGCAAAAGCACACTGTGAGAAAACAGCTTCTGTCAGTCATCTCTCATATCATGATGGTGCCCTCATTCTCCATTCATGGGAACAAACTTTTATTTATAACCACAAGCCTACTGACACATTAATTTGCTGCACAACAATGTTCGCATATGCGTGACGGCCATCTGTCAGGAGTGTTTCATATCTATTCACACATTTTTAATTTACTTTTTGACTTTGCCAAGTGACAACAACCTCATCAAATAGAGCTTTTGCTGACAGCTTGATGCTTTTGTTATGGAGTCGTGCTTGGAATAGAGAAAATCTTTTTACGGCATAAATGTGACAGACCAAAAGAACAGCAACTTATCATGAAATTTTAAATCGTAGATGTTGATAAAACACCTGCAGGAGCCCCTTTTAAAATTGAGAAAATGAGAAGAATCATTCAGTCTGCCCAAGTTCTTTCGCAATAACATTCTAATAGATTTTTTTTTTTTTTTTTTCTTGACTGGGGAAACTAACTTTTCATCTGGAAACAAGCAGTTTACTTTCAACTTACCAAAACAAACAACAAAACTGATGTAATCTTTCCTTCAATCTGATAATGACACCTGCCTTGCAATAACACGACAAGCCTTTTCTCTCCCTCCAAAATGTTTCCTTCCACAGAATGGATGTTGAAAGGCGCTTCCAAACTCAGTTACACCCACACACCCATTGAAGTAAAAAATGATTTTCATGATCTGTTGCCATTACATTTTTTCTTTTGTCAGGTCAACTTAGATATGCGGTTTAGATACCATAACATAATATTTTGAGTTTATGTTGATAAAACCAATCTCCTTCACTGTATTAACTCAATTTTTTTATTTAAATGAACTCAAAATATTAATGCAAACAGTTTTGCTTACTTTTTTAAGTGAAACCAACAAAAATGGTTGACTCACTGGACATGTGAAAGATTTCAAGCTAAAGATTTCAATCAGATGATTTTCATTTAACTAAATGTAAGGAAATCCAATCAAATGTCCCAAATCTAATCAACTTATTACTGTTGTAAGAGCAAATATTATATAATAGGCCCTGATGTGGATACATGGACACATCCATAGTCAGGTGAAATGTGGTTTCTAGTTCAATTTAGTTACTTTTTCTGAAGGATTCCTAACATAAAATGTGAAGAAAAGGCACTGTAAAAATTATTGTTGGTTTAATTTAAAAAAAAGTAAGTAACCTGGTTGCCTTCAAATTTTGAGTTAATACAATGGAGATTGGTTTAATCAACAGAAACTCAAAATATTATGTTATCTGAGCCACATGAATTATCTAAGTTGATTTGACAAAAGTTTTTTTTGTAATAAGTCATGGAAATGTTTTTTTTTTTTTTTTACAGTGTATCCTGCTCACAAATTGCAATCTAAACTGATGTAGATATTTTAAATTAGAATGAATGCTGTTTACTTAGTGCATTGATAACAAACTGTTTCAATAAAGCACTAGTGTGCAGTGTTTCAGGTCGGATATGAAAGTTCATACACAATTCATAAGATTCTTAATCATAAGTTTGTAAGGTTCTGTTTGCTGATAGAAAAAAATAAATATTAATAGATTGCATGAAATTAATAAAGATGAATCTGATACTGTATGTTCCATTTGAATTAATTGGTATTACTTTTGGAACTAAAGTTGATCAATTCATCAAGAAAAAAGAATGAATGAAACCAAAGTCTGACAATTCATTCAAACAAACCATGTCGATGAGCCTAACATACTGGATATATAATACGTTTTAGTGGTCATGATTTTTTTTTATTAACTACGACTTCCTCCTCAATAAACTCCTAATTACTGCTTATTCATAGTTAGTAAGGTAGTTGTTCTCACTATAAACTAGTTTCTTATTAGAATGCATACGGATAATGACCATACTCTATCCCTTATTCCTACCCAATACCGAATCTTAACAACTAACTATGAATAAGCAGTAATTAGGAGTTTTTATGAGGCAGAAGGGTTAATAATTAGTTAATAGTGAGAATTGGACCCTAAACTATAAAGTGTGACCTTTTAAACCCGTCCAACCTATTAAACATTTTGGACATTTCTACCTCTGGTGAGGTCCAAAAATCTGAGGCCACTAATGTCGTTTATTTTGCTTTTTTCTAATTAAATACACATATTTTCCATCAAAAACAACACCATTATTACAATTTAAGAGACAATTGCTTTCGAAATCCAAGAAACCCGTTTATTTTAAGGTTTGAATTAATTTTATGTGTGGTCTCTCAGACTTTTGGACTGGGGAAACACTTAACAAAGTTGATTAAAATTAAAAAGCACATTAAAATAAGCACATTTTCATATTTGAATGTACCACCATTATAACATTTATTAACGAAACCTATTATGAAGTGTTTCCTTTCAAAGAACCATCAGCACTCACCGACACATTCGTTCGCCTCTCTGGCCGTCGCACGCTGCCACGGCCGGTCGTAGTGGAACGGCTTACACCTGTCACACTCCGGTCCCGCCGTGTTGTGCTTGCACTCACACACTAGGTTCCCTTCCCGGTCCTTTACGCACTTTGACGCGTGCCCGTTACACTTGCAGCGACCGCCGACCTGCAGGTCAGACACCGCGTAAAAATACGAGTCCCTGGCGAGCTCCGAGTCATCCTCATTCTCATCCCCGAACGTGTGCAACCGGTTGAAGGTCACTTTGATATCGGTGGCCGTGACCCAGTCCTGCAGAACGGGAGAGTTGTCGAAGTCATGCGCGGAAGGTCTGCCATCCAGCGTGCTGAATGCGATGAGCCCACCTGTTAACGGCTGCATGTCCGTGTGAGAGTCCGTGCAGATCGCTTCCTGCTCGTTCTGCTTGGTGATCGCAGCTTTGCTCGGCTTGTTGTACATTTTCTTGCACTGGGTTGAGTAGAACTGAAAGGGCACCCAGGTTTTCCCATAATCCATGGACTTGAGGATGGCCATGGATTCAGGACGAGGAGAGCAGAACTGGAGGCTCACATAGGTCACCTCGAACTTCTTCCCCAGGGACAGCGTCAGAGTCACATTTTGGGGGTATTGCACGTAGTTCTCCGATTGCCAACAGGTGAGGTTGTGAGGGTTGTTGAGGTCTGTGAGATACGCAGGTGGATGGGTCTTCTTGGGGTCCGTGGCGTCGCAGATGTTGCAGTCCCTCGATCTTTCCTCGCCCTTCTCGGTCACCACGCAGTACCGCGACGCCGGGGTGCCGCAGGTGCTGGAGACGCGCACGTCCTTCCCGAACGCGGAGTTCACAAAGTCGGGGATGCAGCGTCTGGGGTTGCCGTTCTCGTCGTAACAAGGGTCCGGAGGAGAGGATTGAGCCGCGAACATACTCATTCCGTATCCACCACGACCACCAGCAACCATCGCGGTGATGGACACCATGGAGACGCAAGTTACCAAAATCCTTATCATTGCAACCCCTGGTCCTCAGTGTCCCTGAAACTGCACTGAACAGAAAAGAATCGTTTTTGCATGTAAAAAATGACTAGTTTTGCAATGCAATATGCAATCTAGAATGGAGTTTCCTACATGCTATGTTGAAAGTGTGTGAAAGATTTGTGCGTAATTATAGGCGACTTTTCTAAAAGACAAATCCACAAAGTGCACTATACCTCAGAGAGACTGCTTTATTCGGGTGGAGAAGTATGTCAAACCCCTCTAAAAAAGAAATTATAGTGTTCTCTCCCTTTCTTTTCTCTCTCCCGGATATGTTGTAATCTCTTTCCCACTTTCAACCAAAATGAAACAGAAAACCTGCTATTACTTTCCAAGTCTCCCTTTCTTCCTCTGACTAACTCACTCACACCTCTGCCTCTCTGTGACTGAGTGTCGCAGCTCAGCCCTTCTCTCTTTCTGCTGCTCTGCCTGTATTCAATAGGAAGGGGGTTCAGTCATTCACCATTCTCTCTGTGCGCCTGCATGAGTAAAGCGCTTTATTGCCCTGTGTGCAAGCACAATGGAATTCTGATGTACGTTTATCTAGTTGCATTTTGGGTTATTCGTAATTATAGGGTAACGTTCAACTATACTTTCAGTCGTGAAAATTTCAAATTTAAACCGTTTTATTTATGCGCGATGACTTCAGTTTTGTGGAGAGCTTTTTGGGGAATGCAATTTGAAAACGCGCAGATCAAATTATTGAACAAAAATGTATATTTTTGAAGTCTTGTGAAAAAGTGCAAAGTAGATTTTCCCCTGACTAACACTTTTTTTTTTGTCGATGGGGATTAAAAAGTCAGTGTTGGGGACAAGGGCGAAATAGAAAAATTCTGGCAAATATCAACACCTGAAATTATGAAAAAAGAATTAAAGTGACACAATAAAACGTCTTAATCTGTGTTCGTTTCATTACAACTAAATAAAAAAATGATTGAAGTTATTTTTAATTTAATTTAAATATCGTATAGAACAACATTTCCCATAAATACGAACCACATAAAACAGCACACTGCAATACATCTACATTACCAACAAAATAAAAGGATGGATGGATGGATGGAAATACAGATTGCCAGATCTTCTTGACAAACTTTGACTTTGCATGCACAATAGAACTTTCCAGCTACACAATTGCAAAGTTGTAGCCTACATTGCATATTGAGTTATAAACTCTAACCCTTTTTACAGAACGCTCCGTTTAATCTTTGAAAACGGAAATAAATAGCATATGCACATCATACATGTAGGCTACATTCAACTCCAGACGCAGTTCTGATTACGCAACTCTTGGCCACCCACCGTGCCCAGTTGTTGATTCACGGTTCCTCACAATAAAGAAACAACGACACCGTGTGGTAGAGTGGAGAATAGTCCGATCAACAGCGAATCACTAGACTAATTAATTACCTTTATACGAGAATTAAGTAGGCTACTTACTTTGCTAACTATACTTTCTACTTACTTAACTTACTTTTACTAATTTTCTAATAGCTACAGCTTGTAAAATTAATCTACTCTGGATAACATTTAATATTCGGCAGCTCCCAACTTGTTACCCGTTTTATAGGATTTTATCACACAGGAAATGTCCATTTTAGTCATTTTTTAAAAATTATAAACAAATATATGTGCCATTGTTGCTCCATAGTTTTAGGTTTCAAGCTATAAGAACTTTGCCACATTCAATGCATTTAAAAATGTAATGTTAGGCCTCTGCATGTGAACAGACACAGATGCTCGCATGTTGACATCCACCTAAAATGATTAAAATGTCAATATTTTTAGCAGGCTACAGAGTTTACAGAGTGTATGATACTTCTAAAGAAGCTGAAGAGAAGTGACGTAAAGATTTAAACAGGGAACAATCATTAGCATTCGTATTCTTGGCGTCATTATGTATTGTTCAAGTACAGGTCCACTGAAAGCCACAAGACCACAGGCAACTTTAAAGTCACCATGAAATAAAAGTTGACACTTCTTATTATTTTTATATGTATGTGTCCTTATAATCTTTAATCCTCGCTCTTTAAACAACATTTCTTTTCTGATGATGTTTACTTAGGCGAGGGCGGGACAACCTGTCACTCATACATCACAGCAATAGCAAACCACAACCATCCAATCAATTCCTCATGGACAAAATCAAGCCCCGCCCAACATTTGTTCTTGTCCGAGATGCCGTTTCACTCAGGCCTATGTCACAAAAGGGAAGTAAAGGCTATCACAACTTCTGTTTTTATGCCGACTTTAAAAAAGCAACAAATTCATAAGCAGAGCATCTTCTAAAATCACTAAATTGGATCACATGTGTTCTTTTTGTTTCCTGGCAGCAGATGAATGTATTTTGTTTTTTTATCCTGCATGTCATTTTTTTCTTGCCACTGTCCTTGGTGCTGAAGTCTCGGACAAACTGGAATAATGTCATCATCACAGGTCTCAGAGAAATAGCAGGTTTTCCATCATTACCAAAGATTTGTCTTAACAAATAGGCTACTAAGACTGAGGTTCACTGAAACTGCAGCCGTCTAGCACATCATTATACAGACTCTATTTTAGCACTGATGCGTCGTGGGTTGCTTCCCACTTGCGTGGTATAAGACGACTTCAGATTTTTCCATCAGTATTGGGTTTCATTCGATTTACGTAGGCACAATGGATTTTTATGACCACTGGCCTATGATGACTCACGCATGTGAAGAGCTTGAATACAGAACATAGGTCAGTTTAAAACCACTGAAATAAGGAAATGCATGTGCATGCAAGGCAGTGTGAGGTTTCTCATGTCCTCTTTTACATCAGCAAAGGTTAATATCGCAAATTAACTTCTTATTTTACCTCTTTGGTGGTAATGTCATAACACTGCCTACTTCAGGTGGAAGTTATTTGTTACTTAGTGCAAACCAGTGTTTTAGTTCCCATGTGCTATGAATGGATTTTTAAGACCAGGGGCTGGTATTGTGGTTGTCATTGTAACTGCAACATTTGTGCATGTAAAAAGCATGATAGATGGTCATCCGTCAAGCAGCTTATCATCTCGTTTTGGGGTGAAATGAAAATGAAAAGCTACATGTGAGGTGTTCTTTGAGTACAAAGCAGGGTTGTGGTGTATATGAATAGGAAGTAGACTGTTTCCTCGCAGACAAAAAGAGCTGTGTGTGCAAATATAACTGTGTACAAATGATTTCCCTTTTATGTACATCTGACTTATGTACATGGGAGTTTTCAGAGTCTGTAATCTTAGAAAGCTGATAGGCATATTGTATTGGTTTGTCAAAAATGATATTTTTATTATGTTTTTTTATATATATTTATTGATGCATTAGCCTATATGTGGTATTTTTGCATTGAAATATTTTTATTATTTTTTTATTATTTATTTATATTAATAATTTGAGAAGTTATTTATGTAGTTTAGCCTACTTATTTATTTATTTATTTATTTGAGTAGAGTTCTTCATTTAATTTATTTATTTATTTGAAAAGAGTTCCTTATGTAGGCCTACGTCATTTCTCAAAATGTTATCAGTCGATCAAATGATTTCAGAGACGTCATTAATTTGCTTTGTTGATTGTAATGGGAGTGCTCCAATGGGAAGTGACGTGTCCGATGTGGGCGGGGCTACACAAACGCTGCGCTCCTCTGTCATCTGTAAAGGGTGAATGAACTGAAGCGGATCTGCTTAAGACAAGCACGAGAGGTAGGTCGATTGAAAATGTTCTGTGACTTTTCATAACTAACTTTTTGTAAATCTCATGGCTCAAAAATCTACTTCCTATGAACTTCGGTTATATGTTGTATGTATTTATTTATTTTTGTTGTTGTTTGCCTCAGTCAAGATGCTTTACATGGTGTCAACGTAATAGATCTAAATCTTGCTGATTATTGTTGACATTTCAATATAGTGATTCGAAATATATGCTATTAAGCCTATATTCATGGCATATAGCCTAAGTTACCCTTATAGTATTTCATATATTTAGCCTATGTAAAAGAACAAGTGTTGCTCACAATCATTTTTGAATCACTCGTTCAGGGAAAATTAGGAAAGAAGTATAACAAATACATTAAAGATGATTTTTAAAAAGAAGTCTAATTAATATACAGAAATGACTGATTAAGCACAAAGTGGTAACACTTTATTTTTTATCATTGTTACATGTTACTTGTATAGTTACTAATAACTATAAATTATGCATACTTAAACTAACCCTAATCCAAATGCTGATCCTAACCCCTATAGTAAATACATGTTACTCAATATTACTCAATACTTAAATGTATAAGTACAGTGTAACAAAGACACCTTAAACAAAGTGTAACCCAAAAAGTTCAAAACTAGACTAAGTTTACGAACCTTAAACACAGACATCATGTTGGGTCATTTAGGTTGGTCAAGTCATAGGAGAGACATTTTTACCATTGTCGTTAATAAGTAAGGAAAGATGTTTACATTTAAATTTAAACAGTATATGACTTTCTGACTTAAAGCTTTTACAGTAGGTAAACCCCATGTGGGTTCTCATTCTGTTTCTGTAAAGATTTAATTGGTCAGTAATATAAAACCAGAATGTCCGCATCCTGTTTTGATGAATGTCAGATGAATGTGCTGCAAGTTATTTATTATTGTTTGTTTTTCCAGAAACTCGTTGTCAGGGGTCATCTGCATAAGTTGGGCCAGTAAATCGTCTGGTTATGAATGCTATCATATAGTCAGATCAAAATCTGGATTATATCTGACAGTTCCCTTTTCTTCGCAAGATCAAACAGGGGTGGAGCTCAGGTTTTGGTCTCTGTAAAAAAGTGTGATGTCCGGTTTTATTTGCACAATAAAGGAGACAAAAACACAGTCACAGTATGTGTGATGAGCATGAGGCTTTGAGTGAGGGCCTGTCTGGACGAAAGGTGAAAAAAACGACAGTGCTAAAAATATATCCGCTTAGCTTCATTTAGCCACACATTGGTATGGCAGGAAACCAACTGAGTAGTCTTCAGTCTGTCTGTGTTCGAGAGAGAAAGACAGCATTTGAATACCTTGGCCTGTTTAAAGGCCTGTTTGAATAGTAAAGAGCCTGTTTCTTCCTTTTATCACAGGCAGGCGTTCACACAGATGATCAGACTGAGGAAAAGAGACTTCCTGATGAGCAAGATTGTTGTCAAGATTATTCAAATACCGTCTGCTCTCGCACGAGGACTGGGATTATCACATTATCACTGTTCCTTATAGGAACAGCTGTTTTATGCATGGAAGGTAGGCTTGTGTAATGTACATTTACTGTGTATTTCTGTTTTGCTCATAATTTTTGTGTGTGGATAATACAATAATAAGCAAAGAATAATCTATTAAAATGTACTATTTTTAGGTACAGGATGAAAGCAGCAGCATTTGTTTTAGTCTTATTATTTAAAAAAGAAGGTTGTTTCCAATCCAATCCATTTTATTTATATAGCACATTTAAAAAAAAAAAAAAACAGGTTTACAAAGTGCTGAACAAGAAATACAGCATAAAAACACATATAAAACACATAGAAACACTTAAAACAACAAGACGATACAGCTCTCATGCATGCTGGGCTAAAAGACAGGGAATACAAGTGGGTTTAAGACGGGATTTAAAACATTTAAGGGTCGGGCCAATTTGACCTGTGGAGGTAGCTCATTCCACAGTTTAGGGGCTGCTGCTGAAAAAGCACGATCGCCCCTGGTTTTTAACCTGGTTTTTGGAGTGACCAGCCGAAGTTTAGATAAAAGCCTCAGGTGATAAAAACTGGATTTAAGAACATTATTTATCTGTTTATCAAGTTTAAAACCATTGTCTATTTTCACACCCAGTTTTGTCACTACGGGTTTCACATATTGTTGCAGGTAACCCAGGTCAACAGAAAGGATATCACTGGCCCGACTGGGTCCAAACACAATGACCTCAGTTTTATCTTCATTTAAATTTAAAAAGTTAGAAGCCATCCAGGCCTTAATATCTTTTAAACACTATAGTAGAGGTACGAGGGAGTTTTCACCTCTTTTGAGGGGCAGATATATTTGGGAGTCGTCCACATAGAAGTGGTAGGAGATGCCATGCTTTCTAATTATGCTTCCTAGGGTGAAAGAGGGAAAAGAGAAGTGGTCCAAGAATTGAGCCCTGTGGAACACCACAAAAAAGGGGGGCAGTAGATGAGCCAAAGTCCCCAAGCTTTACTGAAAAACATCTCCCAGACAAATAGGACTTAAACCACTGCAAAGCGAGTTTTCACCTCTGCAAAGCTATCAAATGTGGCGGTGAGGTCTAAAAGCACTAGTATGGCAGAATTTCCAGAGTCAGTGGTTAATAAGAGGTCATTAAAAACTCTTAAAAGTGCAGTTTCAGTGCTATGAAGTGCTTTAAAACCAGTTTAACAACTGTTTAGTAATGGTTTAGTGCATGTTAAGCTCATTCATTTGTAAAATGCAAATATGTAATTATGTCTAACACATGATTTATGAGAAGTAACAACATTTCTCTCACAACATGAAAACCCGTGAGGTTTTCACCCCTTTGAAATCTGCTTCCTGTGCCGAGAACCGTGGGGTCTTTTCTGCATCCGTGTTGTGCTCTCTAAATTTACAAACTGTGACCTCAATGCAGGAAATGGGCATACATGCAATATAATTATATTGCTGATGTGTGTATGCGCTCACACAAAGGCGTGTTCTCCTTATTTTGTGCTTGCAGACATGAAGAACCCTCAATGGAAGAAACATGTACTAAAACACTCTTTCCTAACACATGCTTTTCTGTTACAGACTCACTTCCACTTTATTCATGGGGGGGGCGATGTAAAAAAAAACACTTGCATCACTATAGGTGTAGGCTATTGTGGTTGTCAAAACATTTGGTAGCCTAGCTACACATACTTTTATTAAGTTTAGTGACAGCATGGTGCAATAATTGGTATAGAGGCTACTGCTTTTATTATTGCTTGATACAAATTTTACAATTTCAATTAAATTCTTGTGGTTTTATTCTGATTTTGATTCAATTTGGATACATATTATACATATAGGCTACAGAAGATGTTAATTTTTCTCAAGAAAGAAAAGCGCACCTAATGCTGTAAACATAGAGAGCCCTGTCAGCTGGTATTATTAAAGGTTACAAATATCAACTCAAATTAAATATAGGCCTAATGCGTTTTTTTATTACAACAACTTTATAATATTTTAACGATATAAGTAAAAAATATAATAAATATGTAATATGGTGCACATATTTAGCAAAATACTCATTTATACTAATACTAAATATATTATAAAATACTATTTTTTCTATCCAACTTACGTGCTATGGTCATTAAATGGCTTCCCTGAGGTAAATGTAGGCCTACTCCAGCTATTTTATTGACCTCTTTCCGCGGTTGAAAAACACTGATTGGTCGATATTACAGAATGGATGTATGCGATCTGTCACACCTAAAAGCGCCAAAACGGTATTTATTGTTAGAATTTCGTAATAAAATTGACAGAATCTGAGAGCTGGGAATTTGTTCCAATATTTATTTAGTAGTGTGTATGCAATGGGAGTATATAGTACTACCATATATTACTGTAGTACTTTACAATGGATTATTCAAGTTTGCTTTTATTTCAAATAAATGCTATTCTTTAGAACTTTCTATTCATCAAAAGAATCCTTACAAAATGTATCACGGTTTCCAAATATGAAGCAGCACAACTGTTTTCAACATTGATGATAATAATAAATGTTTCTTGAGCATCAAATCATCATATTAGAATGATTTCTGAAGGATCATGTGACACTGAAGACTGAAGAAATGATGCTGCAAATTCAGCTTTGCATCACAGAAATAAATCACATTTTAAAATATAGTCAAATAGAAAACTGCTTAGTTTAAATTGAAATAATATGTCACAATATTACTGTTTTTACTATATTTTTAATTGAATAAAGGCAGCCTTGGTGAGCATAAGAGACTTCTTTCAAAAACATTCAAAAATCGTACCCACCACAAACTTTTGAAGGGTAGTGTACTGTATATATTTACACTTTTCATTTCTTATTAGTCTAAATCTGCTAATTGAAAACTGAAGTTTTCAAACATCTGTATTGTTGGTGTTTCATGAGGTTGTGTGAACTGTTTTGCAGTCGATGGCGTCTCCTCAGTCGTGGAGTCTAGTCTCTACCACAATGTCCATTCCATCCTCAGAGAACTGGACTGTGAACCTCAAGCCGGATCAGCCTGCAATAAAGGTACCGACGCTTTTCTAACAATCTAAACTAAAAGGTAATACAAATCTATGCATGTTAAATCTGCCTTGAGATATCATGCAATTCACCCTGAATGATCCATAATATGCTATTTCCTTGTCCAAGATGTGAAGATTAACCCTCTGATGCATTTTACTTCAAAACAATAATATATAATAATTCCTAATGTTTTTATTCCATCAAAATAGTGTATTCTGGGTTTCCTTTTTGTTATTTTTATTCATCTTGATTATTGATCATTATGATTATTAATCATAACATTTGTGGAACCTTCTTTTAACTTAGTATTTTTATAACCAAAAAAACTAATGTTCCCAGAATGTTCCCAGAATGTTCTAAAGTTTCAAATATTGCAGAGAATGTTGTCATATATACAATTCACAATAAAATATAAACAGGTCAGACACATAGAATTATGGGAAAGGGTCAAAGGTAATTGCCTATGATGACTTTTCGCAGTGGACATCATCATGCTTCAGAGGGTTAATGGAACAGTTCACCCCAAAAATGTTCAACTGTTCCAAAACTAAGCATTTTTGAAGACTTTTCTTGCAGCTCAGTATTATAGTTTATGCTAATCACATCTGAAAAGGCCAAAAAAGTATACGATTTAAGTTTATATGTTATGTCGTTTTGTTTAGGCATGTTGAGATGGACTCTGCATAACAGGGTGGACAGAAACCCATCTATCAGTGTCCCTCTGGTGAGGGTTCTGATAAAAGAGCTCGAAAAGGTCTGTTTCTTTAAAGTTAAATTTGTCAAAGGTCTGTTTCTTTAAAGTTAAATGTGTCAAAGGTCTGTGCGGAACAAGATTTTACCATCAAAGCTGAGTTGTAGTTGTGCAATTTTCACTGTGAATGATGATCTGATTATTTCTCTCCTTTTTATACGATTTATTCCAGGCGGAGAGAATCGATTCCAAGATTCGCATCATTCCTTTACTTCACACACTTGCCTACGCAGTCCTACAGGTCAGATTTCTGTAAATGATTTTGTTTGTTGTGTTATTGTTTCCAGTCAGTGATGTGCAATACATCTGCAAGCAGGTTCCTGGCAGATTTGTTATTGTAGGAACAGTTCCTTGTTGCTTAACTGGAAATCAACATGATTGGATTGTTTTCTAGCCATGTGTGATGCATGTTGCTCATCAGGTTCTCTGCTGTATTTCAGTCTGTATGTATTCCAGAAGACCTCTATCGAAGGATGTACATTTGCCTGAGAAGTTTAGTTACATTACCTTTACCTTACTGTGCAATTGCACTCAACTATGCAAGACAGATGAAAATGGAACAAATTGCACCAGGTAATACAGTTACATTAAAGCATGGAATGCTGTCTATGTATCGAACTAATTGTTAAACTGGAGTTTTGGAGTATTTTTCAGTTTCATTTCTGGTAACATTGTTACTCGAATACACTCATTCAACCCCGTTTGGTTTGCATGGGAATTTCTTACTAACCACCATTGGTGCACCTGTAACTCATGCGAGGAGATGGCATGTTTGGATGCAGTTAAAGGGATAGTTCACTTTGAAATTAATTTTTGGTTTGTTTTAGCTTGCCTCAAGGACATCCAAGATGTAGGTGTCTTTGTTTCCGCAGAAGTTTTAATTTTGATATTTTTAGGTCAAACCGTTCTTGTCTGTCAGTCATGCAGGTCTATGGTCACCACCTCAAAGAGCATGCACAGAGAAGTCCAAATTAAACATGATTTAATGACTCGTAAATGTAAGTACACATTGATGGCCTAAGACACGAAACGAGCGGTTTGTGTGAGAAAACGAACAGTATTTATATCGTTTTTACCTCTTGTAACCACAGCCACGTCCAAGTGATCTGAGGGCGCAGGCGCTTCGGTCTGCGCAAGCGCCGGAAGTGATCTCTCGCGCGGTTGCGAAAAAAAATCAACATGTCTGTTGATATATAGAAATCGTCTTCCATTGCGATTTCCTGTATATCTAAATATGTTTAGATCTTAACAGTGAAAGGTAACACTTCCGAAATCTCTGTGTAAAAAACGAGTGACGTACACGCGCGAGAGATCACTTCCGGCGCTTTCCGGCGCTTTCCGGCGCTTGCGCAGACCGAAGCGCCCGCGCCCTCAGATCACTTGGACATGGCTGTGTTTACAAGAGGTAAAAACTATATAAATACTGTTCGTTTTCTCACACAAACCGCTCGTTTCGTGTCTTAGGCCATCAATGTGTACTTACATTTACGAGTCATTAAATCATGTTTAATTTGGACTTCTCTGTGCATGCTCTTTGAGGTGGTGACCATAGACCTGCATGACTGACAGATAAGAACGGTTTGACCTAAAAATATCAAAATTGAAACTACTGCGGAAACAAAGACACCTACATCTTGGATGCCCTTGAGGTAAGCTAAAACATACCAAAAATTTATTTCAAAGTGAACTATCCCTTTAATCTCAATCATATTTATGGCATTCAAAAGATGCACCAATGAAAATATGGATAGCTACTTCATATGTGTATTTCATTCTGTGGAAATCCCATCCTGCAGCAGTTTTCAAGGTGCTGTTTTCAATCTGTTCCAGGAATACTGTTTCAGAGGAGAGTCATTGCTGAACACAGCCTACGTAATGATCTTTATCCACTTCATGAGAAGTAAGATGATGCCAGTCTATTAATATTCCTGTACTTTTTTATACACTACCATTCAAAAGTTTGGGGGCTGTACTTTTTTTCTTTTGTTTTCTTTAGATAATTAATACCTTTTTCCAGAAAGGATCCATTTAATGGGTCAAAAGTGACAGTAAAGACTTTGAATTTAACTCTGATGAATAGCTACATATTTAAACCCAACCAACCCATGTGATCTGCCCACATTGGTTAATAAGTCAATCCGTCGTGACTCATTTACGATTCGGTCACACTATTTTTTTAATAACATTCTAAGAAATGTCACCTCATTTGTAGTATGAATTCCTCTTTTTATTTCAGGCATATGAAATTAAAGTGTTACCATGCCTTTTTACAAGAGGGAAGTTTTAGTGATTAATTGTTTTTATTTGTAAATGCACTTTATGGTCTTTGTATTCACTGTGTGCAACTCTGTGTTTCTTTGATCAGGGTGTTTGTGTTCATAGATCCCGCTGTGTTTCCTCCGTCTCTGCTGAATGCGCTCAAGGCGGACGTGGAGTCTGCGGACGCTGGTGGTGGAGACCCGTTGATGTGCAAACGCAGGGTTTTACTGCACACAGTGATAGCTGGATTAGGAAAGCAGTGCCATGTTGACCAGCTCGCACATGCTCTAGAGGTTTGTGTGCGATTAAAAATATCTGTAGAGCATCACTATATTCACAAAACATCCCATGGGATTTCAAATGATAACATTTATATATACTGTACTGTTCAAAACTTCTGTCTGTGAGATCTTTTGAAATAAGTCTCTTATGCTCAGCAAGGCTGCATTTATTTGATCAATAATACAGTAAAAACTATTTCCAGCATCATTCCTCCAGTCTTCAGTGTCACATCATCCTTCGGAAATCATTCTAATATGCTGATTTGATGCTCAAGAAACATTTCTAATAATTATCAATGTTGAAAAAAGTTGTAGAAGCCATGATACATTTTTTTAGGATTCTTTGATGAATATAAAGTTCAAAATAAAAGCATTTATTTTTAATAGATTTTTTGTAACAATGTAAAAGTCTTCACTGTCACTTTTGATCAAATAAATGCTCGCAAATGAAAAGTTTCTTTAAATGTTTTTTTTTTTTTTTTTTTTTTTTTTACTCAAATGGGATAATAACAACAATATCAATTGAGATGGGTGCTTTTTTATATTTATAATCAGGTTTAAACTTTTTAATCCTCTAAGATGTACAAAGTATTTAATGAAAAAAACTATACTCTAAAGCAGTGGTTATTAATATTTTTAATTATTATTAAATTAGATTAAAATAAACTAATAAAATGTTTGAATAATAAAAAATAAATAAAAATTTGATCAAAGTTTGACATTTAACAGTATATTACTAGTGAGTATACAAAATATACAATAATGTAGCTTAATAGAAACTAATTTTAGATTTATAATATAATTTTTTCAGTGTATAAGTGTTTATAAAAGATAGATGCCTTTCAGGTTGGGGGGCCCTCACACGAGGATATTTGAGGGCCCTTGGCATCTAAAAGATTGAAATCTCCTGCTCTAAAGAACACTATGGCCCAGATTTACTAACAGCTCACGCCAGCGCAAACCCTGTTTTGGTGTTAAAAAAATAGTCAGGATTTACTAAAGACATGCAGTGAAAAATAAGCACTGAAAAGGCATGGTCAGGGTTATTTTTGCGGCTGAAATTACTGCATATGCATCTTCGCTAAATTTATGGAAGGAGAGTATTTAAAGGTGACATATTATGCCCCTTTCCACAAGATGTAATATAAATGTATGGTGTCCCCAGAATGTGTCTGTGAAGTTTCTGCTCAAAATACCCAACAGATACTTTTTATTATAGCTTGTCAAATTTGCCCCTTTTTGGGTCTGAGCAAAAACGCGCCGTTTTTGTGTGTGGCCCTTTAAATGCAAATGAGCTGCTGCTCCCCCACCTCCGTTAAGAAGACGGCCGATCCTTTGCATGAGCTTTGGATACTCTGGCAATAACAAAACACGCGAATAATCTCTCTCATCCAAAATCTCAGAAATAACCAGTAGCAGAGTGGAGAGGCTCAGGAAGAGGTTGCAACTTTTAGACACACCTGGACGTTTCTGAATGGTTAGTGGATACATTTATGTAGTTGTTGTGGAGTTACATTGATTCATCTCACCGACTTGCATGTACCGTCATGTTTAACTTTTACACAAGTTGACTTAGTTCCTTTAGGTCCCTTATGAGACAGCTGTGACATTTTTGATCTAATAGTGCTCTTTGCTACCAACGACAGAACAGTTTGCATGCTTTGCTCGAACTTTTGCCATTGCGTTAGAACTGGTTACACTAATGACGCTTGCGTAAACCGAATGGCGGCGCCGTGGGCGTAAACGTGCAGATTAAGGGGCGGTAATATTATAATAAGATCCCCTTCCTATGTCAGAAGGGGAGCGAAATCAGATCGGTTTATTTTTGACATGCTTGCATTGAAAAAGGCTTACCGAAGCAAAGTTACTGGGCTGTCACTTTTCACGTTTTCTGGGTTGGTAGATGCACTGGGGACCCGATTATAGCACTAAAACACAGAAAAAGTCAGATTTTCATGATATGTCCCCTTTAAATGAATCACACAAATTGATTTATTAAGGTTTGCGCTCATCAATTTACTGGTATTTGCCTCATTATTTGCCTCCCAAAAAAAGCACGTCTTAAACCAAACGCCAATTTGCTTGGCTCTTGGTAGACGCTTTTATGGGATTGCACTCTAATTTGCCCTGTTTAGTAAATCTGGCCCTAAGTCTTTTGTTTCTTTCAGCATTTAGGTGAAGACCTGGAGCTGCACTTCCAGAATGTTGTCACCATCCTAGAGCAGAGAACAGAAGATGGAGCTTCTGATGATAACCAGTACAAAACAAGATTACAAAAGATCTACCAAGACATCCTGACTGCTGCAAAAGGTAGAAATATCCTCACCACAATCCAATAAGACACTATTTATAGACACAAATAGACAGACTCAAACATATAGGCCCGGTTTCACAGACAGGGCTTAAAGGGATAGTTCACTTTGAAAAAAATTTTTGGTATGTTTTAGCTTACCTCAAGGGCATCCAAGATGTAGGTGTCTATGTTTCCGCAGTAGTTTAAATTTTGATATTTTTAGGTCAAACCGTTCTTGTCTGTCAGTCATATAATGCAGGTCTATGGTCACCACCTCAAAGAACATGCACAGAGAAGTCCAAATTATACACGATTTAATGACTCGTAAATGTAAGTACACATTGATGGCCTAAGACACGAAACGAGCGGTTTGTGTGAGAAAACGAACAGTATTTATATCGTTTTTACCTCTTGTAACCACAGCCACGTCCAAGTGATCCGAGGGCGCGGGCGCTTCGGTCTGCGCAAGCGCCGGAAGTGAAAACTCACCACTCCCGGATGAGTTCGCGCGAGCATACGTAATTGTTTTCATTTACGACGGTTTAAACATCCCGGATAAGCGCAAATTAATACCATTTTAATTAGCCGTCTTACCTACAATCTCTGTTCTGTCTAAACAATGAGTGACGTACACGCGTGAGAGATCACTTCCGGCGCTTGCACAGACCGAAGCGCCCGCGCCCTCAGATCACTTGGACGTGGCTGTGTTTACAAGAGGTAAAAACGATATAAATACTGTTAGTTTTCTCACACAAACCGCTCGTTTCGTGTCTTAGGCCATCAATGTGTACTTACATTTACGAGTCATTAAATCATGTTTAATTTGGACTTCTCTGTGCATGCTCTTTGAGGAAGTTACCATAGACCTGCATGACTGACAGATAAGAACGGTTTGACCTAAAAATATCGAAATTGAAACTACTGGGGAAACAAAGACACCTACATCTTGGATGCCCTTGAGGTAAGCTAAAACATACCAAAAATTTATTTCAAAGTGAACTATCCCTTTAAATTAAGCCAGGATTAGGCCTTAGTTCAATTAGGACATTTAAGTAGCTTTTAAAAATGTACCTTAGAAAAAAACATTACTAGTGTGCATCTTAAGACAAAACAATGGCTCTTACATATTTTAAGATAAGTTGCTTTCAATTAAAAGTTCAAAGATGCATTTTAGTCTGGTCTGTAAGAGGGGGGGTTAGTCTTTTAATATTCACACTTTTGGTCTGTTTAGATTCATCATGTCCAGCCTCGAAAGTGGAAACTCAGCTGCCCTGTCCTGAGGTCAGCTTCCATGTCTGGACCAAAGAGGATGAGATATGTGAGCTCAACTGCTGTTATTTCAACTAATGCCTGTACAAATCTGACATTGGACGTAGTTTGATTGTTTTATGTTTTCTTTTTAAACAGGGAATGAGCTGGTTAACTTTGCACTGATGGTTCCTGCAGACAGAAACTCTGCTTATATGGACGAGGATGACCTGAAACGTAACTCTGTCATGTCCACCGTGTCCATAGACAGTGGCATCGAGGGAGACATGCCCATCAGTGAGTTCTCCTCTATAATGATAGAGTCTCAGGGAGGCCCAGAGGAACAGAGCAGCTCCCAGTCCTTCTACAGGAGGCCGTGTATGCGATTGCCTAAAGCTGGGAACAGAATGACGCTCATGATGGAGGCCATTAAGGGAAATGGAGGATACGTCCTCAATAAAGAGGAAAGGAACCTCACGGCTCGCATTGTTGTTATGGGTGACGACAGAACGCTAGGACGGCTAGCCAAGACTCTCCACACTATACGGTAAGATGTCTGCATGGATTCTTTTACACGTTTCATTTGCATTTGAAAAAGTAAAAGTCTAGTTTAATGATTTCGTCTTGCTGTGTTTGTGCTCAGGAAAAGGGAGGCACGACATCTGCTGCTGACAAAGAGAGTGAATCTGGAGATGTATTACATTCCAGTCACTGACCAGTCGCCGCCTTCCATTCAGGTAATATAGTTTGTGTTTTTAGATGCTTCGCAATGACATCTCAACAGTGTTTCATTGTAATGCATGTCTTTACCAGGGGGATCTTCCTGAAGACATGCTGACACTGGCAGGGTACTTGGGAAGCGTGGATCTGTGGTATGACTGTAACATCACCGGTTTGGGGGCCATGATTCTTAAACTGGCCCAAATGGTAATTAATATTGTATTCCGGTTCCAATTCCTCTTATCTATTCCGGTTTCTTAGTGGTTCCATTAACAATCTTTTAGATGCTTTTATGGGATAAATATATGGAAAAATAAATTTCATTTGATATCATTTCAATAACAAATACATTTAAAACAATCATTGCAAAAGGTATGTTTACATATTGAATGTTAAAACCCTAGACAGGTTTCTAGATACAACAAAAGTGTATCTAATTATTGGACTTAACTATATATTCAACTACAGTACTAAGATTAAAAAATATATTCTTTTATTATCTATCATTTATACTGGCAAAGTGCATAATACATATCTTTTTGTTATATGAACAACGGGTCAGAAACAACACGGAATGTCTCGCGGTTAGTTGTACATGTGATTCGCTTAAAAGAATCGGCTCATAAAAGTAATTCGTTCAGGAGTTGGACTACACTGGGAGAACCGTATGAGTTTGATTCACTAAAAACAACCATCTCATAAGAGTCACTCGGAAGGTAAAGGAATGGTTCACTTCAAAATGAAAATGTTGTCATTGTTTACTCACCCTCAAGTTGTTTCAAACCTGAATGAATTTCTTTCTTCTGTTGAACACAAAAGAAGATATTTTGAAGAAAGTTGTTAACCAAACAGTTGATGGACCCTGTTGACTTCCATAGTATTTATTTTCCTACTATGGAAGTCAATGGTGTCCATCAACTGTCTGGTTACCGACATTCTTCAAATTCTTTTGTGTTCAGCAGGAGAAAGAAATTCATACAGGTTTAAAACAACTTGAGGGTGAGTAAACAATGACAAAAGTTTAATTTTTAAGTGAACTAATCCTTTAAACTTCACTAGTTGTGCTGTATTTTTGATTCACTAAAAAGAATCGGCTCATAAGAGTAATTTTTTCTGCAATCAAAACCGTTTCTCGATTCCAACTCCCAACCCACAGTCATAAATCATCCTCAGTCTTTTCTCTACAGTACTGTACTGTTCATAACGGTACATTTACATAATATAACTTAAAGTGAGAGCATAACTGTGTTTTTAAGTGCAAAAAAAAAAAAGATTGACAGCTCTAAAGCATCTGTGCAGCAATATAGAGAAAGGAGCCTTACTTTACTGTCTTGGTGCTTGAATAATGGAGTAAAAATGTATGTTATTCTATTTTCAACTCTAGGTTTTTGAGTTTCAATATGTTGACATTCATTATCTGTGAATTGCATTTACATTGACAACATTTGGAAGGAAAATACACATGTAATTGTGCTGGCCCTGAGAGTTGATTACTATATTAATGTATTGAGTTGAAAGTCAGAACACACTTTTTCACCTGCTTGCCTGAAATTGTATGAATATAACATATTCAAGAGCAGTTTGAATACGGGTGTTTTTTTTTAACCTTCCTCTTAATTGGTTTCATTGTAGCAGAGCATCAGTCAGAGCGAATCTTCAGACCCCAACACCTTCCTGCTAGATATCATCTCGTACTACACGCGTGTCAGCCAGCATCCGGTGCACCTTCCCGTCTACTCTGTCAAGGTTACATTCAATCATGCAAACCAATGAATGAATACTTGTGCGAAAAGGACATTGCCTTTGTTCTTACCAAAAGTTTGTCAATATTGTATAAATTGTGAGTTGTTATCAATGACAAAAGCTGAATATCTGTATGCTGTCACATCTAGATCTGCTTCTCTGGGCTCAGAACCCACGCGGTGGAGGAAGTGTTTGTGGCTCAGCTCGCGATGGACTTCCCCGAGGTCAAACGCTACAGAACTACGTTTAAAGACACAATTAAAGGTGCTCATGCCATTGAAATGTTTTAAGTCCCCCTGTAGTCAATCATTTTATCCCTTAAAACTTACAGCAAAATTACATATTTAAACGTTTTTTTTCCTTTTTCCTTTTTGAGACCGTCTCTGGTTCACTGCAGTTTTAACTAGAAAATACTCTGCAATGATTCAAAATGAATTTGCACATGGTTTATCTTAAAACACCACATAGACATATGAAACCATTAAAAACTTGATTTTCACCACAGGGGGGGGGGGGGGGGGGGGGGGGGGGGGTTTACTACAAAATATATCTACTGTATGTGCTGTTTCATCTGCCTGTACTAAATGTTTGTCATTAAATTTTGCCTTGAAGGTTCAGTGCGTTACAAAAAATACAACCTACAAGAATTTCATGGTGCAGTTGTGTCAATAAATTATAGAAAGGTGAGTTTCCTCTCAAACTATTGACTCTTAATAAGGGAAACTAACTAGCTAACATTATTTTGGAAAACATATAAAAGAATGTTAAGATTTAATCCAATGTTTTAGTATTATAAACACTACCAATCAAAAGTTTGGGGTCAATGTGTGTTTTTTTAAAGCAACGTTTAGTAAGGATGCATTAAATTGCTCAAAAGTGAGAGCAAAGACTTTTTTATTATATTTCAAATAAATTCTGTTCTTTTTAATTTTCTGTTCCTCTAAGAGTCCTGAAAAAAAATGTAGAACAGTTTCCTCAAAAATATGAAGTAGCACAACAGTTTTCAACATTGATAATAATAAGAAATATTTCTTGAGCATCAAATCATCACATTATAATGATTTCTGAAGGATCATGTGACACTGAAGACTGGAGTAAAGATGCTGAAAATACAGCTTTACTATCACAGGAATAAATTACATTTTAGAAAATATTTCAATAGCAAAGAGTTATTTGAAATTGTAATTACATTTTATGATATTACCAATTTTACAGCATTTTTGATTCAATAAATGTTGCGCTGGTGAGCATAAGAAACTTCTTTTAAAAAACATTAAATCATCTTACTGACCCTAAACTTTTAAATAGAAATCTATGTAATAAAAGATTTGTTGTTAACATTTCTCTTAGGCCTCAATAAGTGACCGAGAAGTTGAGAAGGGAATGTCTTTGTCAACAAGTGGCATGTTAATGAGGGTCACACCTTCCTGCAGAGTCAGAAGTACGTCACATATTTACAATACTACATTCTTCTTTTCGGTTTATTTATGCGCAAACTCTTAGAATTAACATAATGTCAGTTAGATTTTATTGTATTTTATTTTAGTATCATTAATATACTTTTGTAGTATATTATTTATTACTGTAATATTTGTTATGTTTTCTGTTTCATTCTGTTGTGTTTTTGTTGCTTTTTATTTCAGTTTCAGTTCTAGTTATTTTAGTTATTTCTAAATTTAAATTACATTTCTTAGAATTTGTATATATATATATATATATATACATATATACTGTATATAGTTTTAGTTAACAATAACAACATTGGGTCATGGCTGAGAGTATTTATTAAAGATGTATCAAATGTACTTTCATCAACAATTAGGTACTGATACATATTTAAGATGAGGAAAATAATTAATGATGTTAGTTTCCTTGTTTGTAATGTGGCGCTTTGGTTCTACAGGTCTACATAGTGTCAGCATGAGTTTCAAAGATACGAATCCCACAAGGCCTAGCATGGTGAGTGAACGTTTGGACAGCGCTTATAAAATAGTGATTTCTCTGTTACATTCTAGATGTTGTATTTAGTAATCTTGAATGAAATAATAAAGTAAAAAGTGTATTTTCTCTCTAGCCTTCACTCAGAGCTGTCAGTGCCAATATCAGGGTTCTGGAGGAAAGAACATTCAGTGTGTGTTTGGATAAAGACCCACATAAAACATTCAAGAATGTCCAGAGGTGAACAGTCAGATTATGCCTTTCTATACTTTTTTTTTTTTTTTACCTTAATGCCAAGCATTACCTATTAGGTAAACCATATATATATATTCCAGACAGAGCCATTATGTGTGATCTTTTGCCCACAGCATTGAAGTTTCTCCATGCTTGGACCCGGGATACTGCCATCAGCAGAGTACCAAGTCCAAGTACAGTCTTGGAGAGCGAGGCGAATCACTGAGCAAATATCTGAATAAAACCCTCACGCTACCAATCAACACCTTCTGTGGCAATGAGCAATGACATAATGACTCCAATTCATGATATGAGCCCTTATCACGAGCGGAATGAAACCTTATACCTCTCTGAGGCTTTTACATGTGCATTTCCTCTTTTTGCCTCTTCTCTGTTGTCTAAAATGTAACCTCAAGAGGCCATGACTTCCTGCTGAACTGTGAACACATGCCGTTTATATAGACTGTGTGAATGTGTACTGAGTTATGTTAAAATGGTGTCTGAGGATTCATCTTGATCTAAAATGCATGATTTTTGTAAAAACGTCCTTCAGTCTGCACATTTTAATATGTCATGTTTACACTACTTTTATCATTTCATGCATGACAATATGAATAATGTGTTTGTATATTACTTTGGACATGTAATTTAACACTTTGGAAGCACTTCGACTTTCATGTGACACTTGCCAATAATAAACGTGATAGAAAAAAACGCTTGGATTATTTTGTTGTGGGAATTTTGGATCAGAATAGCATGCTACCCCAGTTTTTCTGCAGTAGCCTATAGGCCTAAACACTTTGTGCAGTATGCTAGGTTGGAAACCTGTTTTGTTTGCTAATATGTGCAGTATCATATGTGGGGTGTTGAATTTCACAACAATGTTCTCGATTTTTATTTACTAAGACAAATGAACCTGGGCTAATAGAAATGTGTTTAACATTTTCTTCTTGACTCATGATTTGATCGGACGCCCAATAATTTTTTTTAAAGAACTAAAGAAAACATTAGGTTACAATATCCTGAAGTGACTTCCTTAACAGGGCAAGTTCGTTACAGAAATTCTAATACAAAGACGGGGGATTTTGACATTCGGCATTTATGAATAAAGAACTTGTCATTCAGAACTTAATGGTCGAAAAACAGCTTTTTCTTTTTTTTCAACTGCAATGTTATCTTTAAATGAGATTTAAAAAGCGCTCATGTGATCTTAATTCCTTAATTTTAAACTGTGAGTTCATCCTCTCACCAACAGATGGCGCTGTAATCTCAAAAATTCGAATTTGCTCAGTTTGCCGCAGATAGGAGGTCGGCCATTGGTTGTTTGTCAAAGAGAAGGAAAACTTTTTGCACCTCAACTGGATACGGTATGGACATGAAAAGTCAAAGAAACCTTTAATCGACGATATTTTGTCAATCAAACCATGGTTTTACGGATACGACAAATCTCAGGTAAATAGTAGCTAAACGCACGGCAACATCATGACGTGTGACAACAGGTGCAGGATTACGATTAACCTGTTACTGAGAGTGTGTCGTGTACTTGTAGATACTGAAAAGTGAAGTTTTTTTCTTTAAACCAACACACGCGATTTAAAATGAAGTTTTACAGACTTATTAGAAAACATCGGCTTAAACTCTGTTATAATTCTTATGTATAGGAGTGATTTTATGAAATTGCGATATACTGCACGTTCTCTTCCGTATTATTTTAATAGATAGCCTACTTTTTATTTGTTTTGCTCTCATTTGATATGATATGTCTTGTTTTCTATAAATGTCCTGTTTAAAGAAATCATGATGACACGATGTGTACATATGACTAAAAGACGATAGTAATAATAATACAGCTAATACAGACGAAATACAGCTTCCATATGGAATTTATTAACCCATTATGCTGGTGACGATATCATATTATGGAATTCTATGAAGCGCCTCGAAGTACCATTTAAACGCTATAGAAGCCTAGATTGTTGTCTTTTGTGACAATTCATGTGACCCATTAGAAAGAGAAAATATAAAATGAAGTATAATCATTTCAACTAAGAAAAATTACCATTATGATATTACTATAAAACTTTTATAGCACCACGTTTTTAGAACATAATAAATAATATCATCAAATTAAAAATATGCAGTTACATCATATATGTAGCAAAAATTCCAAACATTCCACAAGATGTAGGCTACCAATCTATTACCATAATAACATACTGTGTTATTTTTTAAATTACCTGGAAGTACTATGGTATGTGAATTCAGTGAATGTGTCAATCATTCAGTTAGCCTGTGTAAAGTTGCCAATATTTCTTAATTTCAGTTTTCTTCTTCTTTTCTTTAAACTACACAGAACGCTAACTCAAGTCGACAAACATGAAGAAGGGAGCAATGCAGAAGAGCAGGCAGTGGAACGTGAAGGGAGCCTTGCGAATGGCTGGCATCTTTCACTTCCTCCATTCCTGTGGCTCCGGTTGCCTACTTCCCTTCCTGACGCTCTACTTCCGGCACCTGGGTCTCAACGCCGCCATGATCGGAATCATCATGGCGTCCAAGCACCTGCTCGCCCTGGCGTGGCGGCCGTTCTCCAGCGTCCTCGCCAGGCAGTACGACAAACGGCGGACGGTCATAGTGGGCTCATTGCTCAGCTCGGCACTGGTGGTTTTTACTCTTCTGCTCTTCCCGTCCGCAGGAATCCAAGCTGAAAGCGGACGGTGTAACGCTAGTCAATCCGATGCTGATCCTACCGCGCTTCTAGCCACGCTAGAGCAGATGACGACATCGCAATCAAACGCTACTGTTTATTCAGTGAATCAAACTTCTTTAAGTACTGAACAACCTGTCGAAGTTAACACATTTGTAAGTCAGAACTGGTCAGCAAGAGGATTGAGATCTTTGAAAAAGGAAGAAGGTCTTCATTCTGAGTTCCTGGGGAGCCTGAAAGCTATGGATGCCCAACACCAGATGTTCTTTCTGGTTCTCATAGTGATGGTTTTGTGGGAGTGCATGGCCGCCCCGTTGGAATGGACGGCAGATGATGGACTGTATGAATACTTGGATTTCGTAGATGCCACCGACCGCTATAGTGGCGTGAAGGTCTGGAAGCAACTTGGGGCCGCTTTTGGCAACTGTGCAGTTGGTGTTCTAGTAACCAGCCTGTTTTGTCTTACAGGAACTTCAGTGGAGTTTTATTCCTACACCGTACTCATGATCCTAACCATACCTACTGCCGCCCTACTACCAATCTACCTCCGAAAGCGTGAGCGCCTCACTAGTGGCGGCTTTAAGGCACTGCAATTGGTGCATGGGAACTCACAGGCGATACTTTGTGCCATCACTGTCGTTTTGATGGGCATGGTGACCTCAGCTGTGTCGGATTTCCTCCTCTGGCAGATGCAGGACTGCGGTGCAAGGGAAATCCACATGGGAATCTCTTTAGCCCTGGTGCACCTAAGCCAGGCTGCCTTTGCTCCACTTTCTGGGCATCTCTCCCGCTTTCTTAAGTACCACGGTTGGTTACTAGTACTCGCCGTCGTCATTTTAGCCCTGCAATGCCTTTATTATTCCTTCTTGTGGAGCCCGTGGGCCGTAATACCCGCTCAACTGATGGCAGGATTCAGCACCGGCGCCCTCTGGTGGTCCGTAACATCACAAAGCGAAGACATCGCCACTCCAGGCACCGAAAAGACCATTTTAAGGCTGTTTGAGGCACTTTCTCTGGAGCTGGGAGCTGCATTTGGCAGTCTGACGGCCGGGTTCGTTGTGCAAAAGTTTGGGGTCATGTTGCTTTTCCAAGGTGCGGGGGTCGTTTTGGCTTTGTGGAGTAGCGCTCTTGCTGTACTCAAGTGGAAGATTCCTCGGCAGCGGCGGATAAACTACTCACGGCTGCTGGCCGCCGACACCGAGATCAGTGAGTCCGAGTCGGACCAGGAGAAAGATTGGCTGGAGACAGCAATGGAAGATGACAGAGGGAAAATAAGTGGACAATGGAAAGTAAAGTAAAGAGTGACTTGTTAACATCTACAGAGAGCAATTTAAAAGAACTGAGAGTAAAATGACACTAAAATTGTTCATTAAACTGTAAAAAAAAAAAAAAAAAAAATCTTACTCAGTATTTTTTGTCTTGTTTTCCATATATCAAATATCAAAATATTCTTAAATCAAGATACGTTTACTTGAGGAAAATTACTTAAGATGTTAAGACTTGTTTCTGGAAAACTGATCAAATTTGAGTACGTTTTTGCTTAAAACAAGACAAAAGTATGTAAATGGGGTAAGAAATATAAACTTATTTGAAAGGGAAAACAAGATAATTTTTCTTACCGCATTGACACCCCATTTAATTTTCAGAAAACACGACTTTGAGTAATATCTTAAGTCATTTTCCTTCTCAAGGAAATGTATCTTGACTTAAGAATGTCTTGATATAATGGAAAACAAGACGACAATACGAAGGCAGAAAATAGTTTGAGAGTGCTTTGAGGCCGAATCATCATAAAGTCCATCAGGGATGAAGTTACATCAGTACTCTTTCAAGCCATTTAAATCTCTTTCTGGGATCATTTAAGGCTTTGAGAGAAGCATTACAGCTCCAATACTTGAACATCCTAAAATGTACATCATTCTTTTGTGAAGATTTATGATTTTATATTCGCCAGCTCTTTGGTACACTGATGACTGGACAATGACTGGAGACGAGCTGATCTGGTTTGTTTGCTTACAGTAAGCGTGTGAGCAAAGCGGCAATAATCACGTGAGCAAATAGTGCCTATTGTTTAACATCTTCACACCCTTTCTTTCCCACTCATTATGTTTTGAAAAGACTTGTGATCTGAAGGTAAGCCTCAGTTACCTGTTATGCAGAGACTTTTTTGTATTTATTGTGTATGAGGCACTCATGTTTTGCACTATTAGGTGTCACTAAAAGGGAAGAGGTTTATTGAAGATAATCATAATAAAAGTGTCATATTTACAGATTAAGGGATTGAGAAAGAGATGCTTGGCTTAGATGTGAGATTTGCCAAACTTGTATTGGGGTGGGGGGAAGCTTCCCAAACTTGTTCTTGAGTACATTTTTCTGTAGAGCTGGTCTGACTGCAGAGCGGTCTAGTTGTGACTAGCAATTCTTTAAAAAAAAATGTGAGGAAGGATTGGAATAAATATTTTTTACATTTCATATATTTGAAATCAAGAACATCTATTAAATGATTATTTCCACTTTCAACAAATGCATGAAGTCAAGTGTTGTTGTGTTTTTTTCTTTCTTTCTAAAATGTCTTGATAAGCCCTGCACCGTAAAAAGGGGTGTACTTTGATCCTGTTTGTCCAGCATTAACCATTTTATGACATTATTATGTAATGGAATCAATAACCTTGAATTCGCCGTGTTGACTTTTTTTAATGGCATAGCATTGTGTGTCAGTGTTGATGTAATTTCCTTTGGATCGGAACTGACGCTGCTTTAATATAACAGCATGCATTGACACTAGGATCAGACCACATAGCTAAAAGTGTTTTCTCCTCAATTGCTGCTTCAAAAGCATAATCTATCAATGCAACCAGGCTGTTAATGGCTCAGCAATAGATGCCTTCATGCTGTAACACATTCTTTAGCTGAATCCCAAAATTTTTTGTAGGCTTCATTCCCAGTGCAAAAGTATGTATGTTTAACTTTTATGTCCTGACTGTTAAACCACTTGATTTGCAATTCAAATTGATTTATGTGCATGTTCATATTATCACACATAGAGGAAAGCCTGTATCATGTAGATGATTTACGTTAGTTTGCTCTTATAAAACTTTCTAAGAATTTGTGTGATCATTCTTTTACAGGCGTTTAAATTGTATAGCCAGTCTTACAGCTTTTGTAATGAAACTGTAGATGCGTTAATGTTACAGTACTTGTCTGTTTTTTACTTTTATGAAAATGAACATGACTAAGGCATCAAGTCAAATGACCCAAAGGCTGAGAGCGTTTCACATTTTAAAGGTATCTACTACAGTAGTGTTACTTTTAGATGTGAGAATTTTGACTTTCCATAAATGTCAACTTGAACTAACAGAAAACATCATGGTTTTATGTGAATATATACCTCTAGCAAGTAAATAAGTAACTGATAGTAGGTTTTTTATTCAAGTGGTATTTTCCATTTTGCTTGGGTATTGCTAATTGGTAATTACAGGCATTTAAAAAATATATTTTAACTGCCATTTTAAGCCATGGCACCATAATACATATGCCAAGATTGTTATTCTATGTGGGAGAATACCCACAATGCACTGTGAATTCCCACGTCTGACCAGGAGATGGCGCCTGCAGCTCAATCATCCATCTGTCCATTTTCCAAACCGCTGGTCCAATGTGGCTTCAGCGTAATCTCATGCAGGTACATTTCTTTTTTATTGATTTTTAAATAGTTTAAACGAGGTTTAGTTTCCACGACAGAGTTCAGGATACATCTTTTTATTACTACTGGAGCTGCTAGTTTGATAACATTGAAATAATTATTAGACATCAAGCAGGTGCAAAAGCATCGGGCAGAGTCCGAATCATGGTCCGAATTCGCTCACTCGTTTTCATTCACTCCTTCAAGTGGACTTTATTAGTGGAGTAATGAAGGGGATAATAGTGAATGAGGGTAGGCTATAGCCAGGGGGCAATTTTGGACACATCCAGACTAGTTAGTTGTTTACATTCATAAAGTGCAATATTATGTGCTTTAAAGACATTCTTAATTAATTTAACGCTGTCTCGTCGTGACACTTTGCAGACTCATGGCTGCTGTGCTCGTTCACGTGTTTTGGAGACTGAAGGGAGGGTGGGTCGGCATCTTATGCTTTCAAAGCAGTGTTGTCAGACTGACATACGATAATTATCGTATTTGTATGATAATTTTGATATCTGTATGATGTACGACCAATAATCCCATAATGTACGATAATTTCAGAATTTTGTGACACTTCAAATGATGGTCGTTGTAATATAGGGCTTCTATAGCCATTGATCCAGCTTTGAATCCTACGTCTACCATCATGATTTTGAGGAGAACGTGAACGTGGTGAGGTGGTTTAGCAATAAAGTAATTTGCAGGTCATGTCAAGTTGTTGGTCTAGAACTCTACACAAATAACGTTAGCTGTATTCTGTACGTTTGGCTCGTGTACGATAATTTTCTTCTAAATACAATAACTTTGAGAATCTGGTATAGGCCTACTTGGGCATTTCCAAACTAGCAACACTGTTTCAAAGCTAGCTTGCTATTGTTAGCCGTTCCGAAATCGCCTACCTTCAAGGTTACTGAAATCAAAAAGCAGACACATTTTTGGATTTTTTTTTTTATAATATGCAAATGTGCATGTTGAGATGCTGTCTAATTAGCTTACTTTTAAAACTTAAACGGGTGAAGTAACAATACAAAAATGTTTTGTGATATGTTTAATTTTAAAAGCAAGGTAGGCTATAGCCTATATTTGATCTCAATTAATGAACATTTAACTTAACGTCACTTTTCTCGTTATTCACAGGGTGGCGCTTTCAGGTAATGGGAGAATAATCGTGTTGAGCATCTACAATGTGTCACACACTGACTCACAGCAGCATCGATCGGCAGCAGGTGCGAGCGCGCGCATCACTCAGCATCACCGATGACATGGAGTTAAAAACCTCCATCAGTCAAACTGCGCTTTAATTCACCGGCCGAGGAGCAAAGCAGCGACATTCTGCTCCAGCTCAAACTTCAAGTCTCAAGTGTGTTGTGGAGCTTCACAGAATGGAGAAAGGGCGAAGCACCTCGAAACAGTACGGATCTCTGGATCAAACAGAGCTCTGCGAAGAAACAGGAAAACAAGGTGGGAAGAATATTATGAATAAACTCATCCGTCTCTGCGTTTATGAAGGTGTTTGAGTGCGTCCACATTGCATAGGCTACTTGACTTCATTTTGACGTACTGTATGCACGAAAGAACTTACTTTTAAATTGATGCAGTTATCTTTACCATTGTCAACTTGCTTAGAAATGAAGTTATTTACAGTGCCACTAATAGTTACAGAAAGCTACATGCATGCAATGCAACGTGAAGACATTATTTTAATTAAATATTTTTGAGAGTGCAATTGACTCATTAATACAAATAGACAACATGATACAATTTTTATAACTGTTTTTATTATGAATTATGAAAAATTCACTATAGCTGCTTTTTCACAATTTCCCTTCCATACAATATCTTTAGTGAATATTATTTGGATCTTAATGTTAGAAAGACTGCTCAATTACTTTTTGTTTCAATCTGAAGTGTACTAACATTTCTTAGGACTAGTAATGGGCATGATTTGTCCCTCATCTAACAGTAGATTCGATTTTAAAGTTAATTTTCCTGTCAGGTCCCAGTATCGCTTTCACCCCTTTCACTTTTATTTTTTTAATGATCCAACAAAGGAAATGCAATAATGTTTTCTTCATTATACAGAAATAGTGACAGCAGGGTGGAAATAGTGAGACCGCTTTCTGCTGTCGTGACTGATCCTGACTAAAGAAATCCCGACAAACAGACCTTGTGGGAACTGAATGCTCACCAATTGAGATTGATTATCAATAAATACTTGTTTGTGATGCCCGTTCAGCAGTTATTCCTTAAAATATATTCCTTCTCACTTTAGTCGTAATGGAGACAACAGACTCGTTCTGTGATCTTTTAGTTCTTTAAAGGATTACTGGTCGATTATACTTAAGCATGTGTTTTTTACTCAGGGTGTGTTCAGTTTATTTAACTAAAGGCCATTAGATTTGAAGTGATCATTAGTGATGGAAGATTAAAGCAATTGTACATTCCACATCACAGATTCTTTCCAAATCCATATGACTTTCTTACCTTCTCTCAAACACAATAGGTAATATTTTGAAGAATTGTAGTCTCTCTTGTTCAGATTGAGGAAACTTAAAAAAAGACACAAACATACTATAAATGTGGTGCAACCACTTAGCTTTGTGTGAAGAACAAAGCAAAATTGAAGCCATTCTTTTCTGATAATCTTCTCCCGTGGGATGTCAGGGAGTTAAACTTAAGAACAGTCTGATTTGGAAACTAGATCAACTGCATGAATCGTTGGAAGGATTTGAGATGATTGTGTATCATATAATGAGAAAGTTGTAAAACAGATGGGGTCCCTACAGTATAATGTGATGATGCCAACACTATTCTGTTAAAATCCCATCATTATATTTTTAATCATGAGGCACAATATGTCAAGACGTTAAATCTGGATCATGCAATTAAAACTGTTAGAGAAACATTCAACTTCATTGACTGAAAAAATGCAGTTCTCCGCATGACAATATGGCTCAGCAAACAGCCGTGGGAATGTTTCAATCAGAGTGTAGAGATTTTTATGCAAAGCGACCAAGCAAATTGAAAACTGTCTTTGTGATTCAGCTTTTCTGCATGACATAACTGAATATCTGAGTAAATTGAATAAGAGATGTCAGAGGAGGCTCATCGCAGATGTACGAGTCTGTGAAAGGCTTTCCGTTTAATCTAATGTGGTCTGTGGAGTCTCAACTGTTTGCCAAACCGTCATGCACAGCTTAAGTAAAGCGCTCCATTGTGATTCTGACAAAAACAAGCACAAAACGCATGGTTTAACACATCTGTACTAGTTTAAGTCCACTTTTTTTTGCGTTATGTCTTTTTAAATTTGAAGGGGTGATGAACTGCATTTTTTTTATAATGTTCACTGAGGTCCACTTATACTGTTATCAATATTTTACATAAAAAAAAAACAATTTAAAAGTAATAGGCTATTTTCTATCCTGTTTTTGACCCTCTCTTTGAAAGACTCCTTTTTGGTGGTTGTGTCGCCTTCTTGCCCACTGCTATGTAGAGCCCGACCGATATATCGGCGCGCCGATATTAGGCATTTTCCTAACTATCGGTATCTGCCTTTATAATGGCCGATAAATTAATATTTTTAAAAATGCGGGTGCGGTGATTCATGTAAGGGTGGCGCTGCCAATAAAGCACATAAAAGCTGTCACAAAGAACTGGCAAAAGTAATGATTGTGAATACATCAAATATAGCAAGGAGACATTTTAATTTTGTATTAATAAACAAGTGTTTTCAGTCAGTGTCGCTGCAAAGTTGACGACGCTGACTCGAGATCTTCAGTGAACATGCCAGAGAGAAATGCACATTTCATACGGATTACAGCAGAGAGCAGTCTGTCTTTCGTTTTGAATTGTTCTGTTTAAAAGTAGACATTTCAATATAGATATATTTCTGCTGAGTTTTGGTTAATTTATAAGACGAGTTGCAGTTCACGCGCCGGCCGGCACCTCCGTGTCGAGATTATCTATTGTCTGCTATACTATGATTGGGTAACAGTTTTGCATATTAAATGATTTTCATATTGTAATTTTGCATATTAAAAAACTTTCGATGTTGAAAAATGGCAACCTAGTCTGATCCCGAATCAGAAGACGTATTACATAAGTCTTGGTTGTGGCAAATAAAGTTTAAGTACTTGTAGTTACCACAGTTATAACTGTAAAACACTGTACAAAATGTACTGTAAAAAATGATATTATCAATAAGTTATGACAAAATATGTTTTTACATTGCTCATCAAACTCATCAAAATAAGTTAAGCAAGATTTAACTAATTTTTAAGTCAGTTTAATGTAATTTAAGTTGAAATGACTTAAACATCCAAGTTGATTGTGCTTAAAGATTTAAGGCAGCAAACTTTTTTTTACAGTGTCGTTGACAAATGTGCTTGTGCTTGCGCTATGTATGTTATGCGCGCAGTATGTTCTGTCTCGCATGCGCGCTCTAGATTCCGGGAGATTTGAACTAATTTGCGGGCATCAGGGAGACGCTATCAATATGCGGGAGACTCCCAGGCCACAGACAATTTGAGGAAGTGGTGGGGGAAGTGACGTATGCCATAAAGCAGTGTTTCTCAACCCTGCCCCTGAAGGACCCCCAACACTGCACGTTTTCTTTGTTTCCCTAATCAAACACACCTGATTCAACTCATCATATCATTATCACATATGTGATAATGATATGATGAAAAAAGAATACAAAAAGAACTACAAAACTCGACTGCTTTATGGCAGTGTTTCTCAACCCTGCCCCTGAAGGACCCCCAACACTGCACGTTTTCTTTGTTTCCCTAATCAAACACACCTGATTCAACTCATCAGATCAGAGTCACATGTGATAATGATCTGATGAGTTGAATCAGGTGTGTTTGATTAGGGAAACAAAGAAAACGTGCAGTGTTGGGGGTCCTTCAGGGGCAGGGTTGAGAAACACTGCCATAAAGCAGTCGAGTTTTGTAGTTCTTTTTGTGCTCAGGTTACTACCCGAAACCCGAAGTTACATAGTGCAAGTAAAAGCGATACAGACCACGTCAGGCTATGGCAGACGTGTCATTTAACCTATTGTAAGTCGATGTACCATCACAAGGGTCTTGAAAATATATTATGAAGGTTGAAAAACTACATAGTGTTACTTTAAGTGAGTACAAATCAAACGGTAACAGACTAAGGAATAGTGAAAACATTGTAACATTTTGTGCAATGGAAAGATTCCATGGATTCCATCCATGGAACCATCGACGCCAAGAAAGAACCTTTATTTTTAAGAGTGTAGAGTGAGCTGTATCGTTGCAGTCTCCGAGTGAGATAAAACACCCGCGCTGACTTCGCTACAAACAAATGGTCTTCGCTCCAGGCAGAATCATGCAAATCCACTTCCACTCCAATACTTTGGCATGTGTCAGCTACAAAAGAGCTCTGACTTTCAGAAAAAATACAGCTGAAAAGATAAAAAATTTAAATGTGTTTTTTAGACAAGCCTCTGAGGGTTTCAGAGTACAGCGTATAACCTTAACCCATATCAAAAATCTGTGGTAAGATCCGAAGACCGCCGTTCACAAGAAATCTGACAGATCTTCACAGAATCTGCATAGAAAAGTGTAAGAAGCTCCTCCAATCCTTGGGCACAATAATACTTTAAAGGAGCTGTATGTAAGAAATGTATTTGAATTAATCATAAAATGGCCCTGATATGTCACTAGACATTGAGAAATCATGTTCATTTCAAATACTTATATCACTGACAACAGTAGTCCGGCCAGGATATTGTCATTTAAAAAGTGAAGTTGCAGCCCTCAACTGATGTTGATGTTGTCATGTTGTGTTTTGGTCTGATGCTCCACCCTCCACCTATCGACCATTCACGAAGTCAGTAGTGTTGCGCCATCCGGGTTGCCAGCTCTGCTCTAGTTACCACAGCTGCAGCTACACACGTGTCGGATAAAAAAAATGCAGCCGATCTGGCAACCTCGAGTCAGGGGGGAGGGGGAGGGGATACACCGCTCTACAGTAATTTTAAAGTGATTGCAGTACCGGTTTTGGCCACAATCTTACATACAGCTCCTTTAAATCTGACTCATTATTTAGATGCAATGACATTAACGGTTATAGGGTTCACCAGACATACTAAATACAAATAATGAGATAAAAAGTGCTGTTTTCCTCACATCTCTTGGGTTCGGCTGGATAACAAGGCCAGAGTGTATGTTACGTAGTACTACTTTGATGCTGTTTGCGCAGCGGGTGTGCGGGCGTAAAATACATGTGGTTTTAAATGATCTAAATCCTGAGGGTTGTTACAATGACCCGGTGACCAGCTTTGCTCATGAGGAGGATTAAACAAGAGTGACAGGAAAACTGCGAGATGGAGAAGTAAATCATGCTTTAAATCTCAAAAAAAAAAATCCTTTCATCTCACCAACTGCATAAATAATTAAACTAACAGGTTTCCTGTTTACTCGCCTCCT